CCGTTGGCCAAGAAGGAATTGATGCCTGAATGTGCCAAGGCCTAACAGATGTTACGGCGTGGCGTGCCCTGACGTGCACTGCAGCTAGTCCTGATTGTTCTGGCTTTTTAGCAGAGATGGGAGGGGTCTCTCTTTGTCTAACCGCCGTGACAACAGACCGAAGGCTGCATGAGAGTGAGGGACTTGCATTTCCAGCGAGGTCGCGTTAGCCGCAGGTCATGTACCTTGTAGCTACGTACCTCTGAACGGACCACAGGGAGGCCTATATAGAAAGCCGACCTCTTGAGAGGGATCCTCGAGATTCTGCTTCCTCAAGCACCTCTTAAGCCCCTTGAAAGATTATTATACGCATAATAGAAGTTACCCTTCCAAGCCGACATAGTCCCCTTGTTACACCGTGTTATGGCGTGGCGTGAGGCCGGGCTGGCTTAGCCATGTACAAGTGCGGGGCACCAGCACACGCATCTTATAGATTCCCCTTTCCCTCTCCATCTTAGATTCTGAGGTCTACTTGGTAGGATTACTTGCGGTCGTTCTGCAGGCCTGTAACAATGACGAATCAACAAATGTAGCCAAAGCTTCTTTATTTGCAATTGCCTGCTTATATCTACGATGTACTGCCATGGTCTCGCAGCGACTAGGGGTCTGGTATTACGATCACGGAGAATAGGCTTCGCGGCCAGGTTTAATTGATGCCATGGACAAAGACTCTTCCAGGGGAGGGGAAAGGAAGAGAGGCGCGGTGCGAGAGAAAAGGTGGTACAATACCTCATGTCACGTGCGATGCCCTGAGCCCCGTGCTCCATGGATGCCCCAGGCGTGCAGTGATATGCGTGCGGTGCGCGCGGTGCGCGGAGTGCGCCCGTATAGGGTACCTATCTGTCACGGCCTGTAGGGTCTCTTGTATCCAGCAGAAGAAGAAATCGATTTACGTCAGCGCCTCGGGTGCTGTCACGTGCCTGTGCACGTGCCAGTCCCGTCGAGCAGCCACCCTTGTGGCTCTCTGACGTGCCCGCGGCAGTGGCTGGGCATTTCTATGTGGCCGCATTGCGCCGGCTCTAGGAAGCTAGGTACAGGGAAAGTTATAACCACGGGGCAACAGTAAAACCCTACCCCTAGCTCCCTCTCTTTCTTTATTGGGCCCTAAGTCCCCTATGCCAGTCTCCCGACCTCCGCGATCGGCAGTTCCTCCTCCGCGTCTGAGTCGTCCGGGTCCTCCGCCCCGGCGCCTTGTCCCTTGACCTCGATTCCATCTTTGTTGACCGACATTACTTGTTCGGCTCCCATGCTCCGCAGGGCCTTCTCGATCCCGATGCGGACTATGGCGTTCTGGCCCCTTCTCCACCACTTGGCCTCTTCGGTGTTGTTTGCTGCAAGGTTGGGTTCTTTTCGCCACGTGGCGGGTACCCTCCGCAACTCGCAGTTGTCTGTGTGTCCGACCTCTTTCACTACCCCGCACACGCAGTGCCAAGCCTGTGTCCACGGGTGGTTGAACCTTTTATGGTAGGACTCGAAATTCCCGTGTCCCGACCCCTCGGCTAGGAAGGTGTGTAGTTTCCCCCTGCCTTCCGGTGTCGTTTCCCAGGTGTACTTGGGGTCCCAGTTAACGTGTGTGTATGAGGTCGGTCTGTTAGCCTCCCACCACCTCACCGGGTCGGCTTGTGTAAGCCGTGGGCCTGGGTCGCCCTTGGGGCGTGCCTTTTTGGGTGGTCTGGGTTCCAGCCCAAATAGCTCTGCCGTGGCCGAGGCCCCCGGTCCGACAGGGTGCTGCCTCGGGGCTGGGACCGGTGTGACCGGGGTGAGGTCGTACAGCCTTGATAGTCTTGTGGGCGTGCCCTCGGAGTGTCTGAGTCTGTAGGTAATCGGGTGGTTTAACGGGAGTGTGTGTAGCCTGTTGGATGCCCTGGCAAGTTCCCTACCCCATACCTCCTGTGGGGAAAATCCTGTGTTCCAGTACCGGATGGCCACCGGAGAAGTCCGCCACGCGGGGGTAAGTGCTTTGAGTGCTGGCTTGGTTGCTTTTCCAATGTTTTGAGGCCCGCCATGGCCTTGCGGTTTTGGGTGCCCTGGAACAATGGCCAGAGTCCGTAGGTAAGGGTGGGGACCACCCCCGATTTGAACCAGGTCCTGGCTGCATCTGGTCGGAGTCCTTTGTATACCGCGTTTACCCGTTTCGTGAGGGCGGTTATCAGCTGGGCTTTTTTGGTTCTGGCTGTTATGTTTGCACCAGGGGTGATCCCTTCCCGTCCTGTGGCTTTCAGCCCGACCCCAAGCCATGTGACTTGTGTGTTGGCGCAGGTCCGGCCTGTTGGGAGGTATAGGTTCCTGATCGCTTCCAGGACTGTTTTTTTGACCGAGCCGCTGCCGCTGGGCGGCGTGTAGAGCAATTCCGTTTTCCCTGGGTCCAGCCGTAGCCCAGCGTTGCGTAGGTCCTCGTCTAGCTGCCACGCTTGCATCGTGGCCTTTCTGGCTGCTGTTTCTGGGTCGCGGTCGGTGCTGTACTGCGCGACGTCGTCCATATAGGTGTACGTAAAGCCGTGGTTATGAAGGAATGGCGTTCTAACGATAGTAGCTAGTACTAATGTAAGGAGTACTGGGGACCAAGGCGATCCCTGTGGCAGGCCGTTACTGGCTTGGAACGTTTTGTTGTGCCACTTGAACCGGTAGCTTCTGTCTGTCACAAAGGACTGTGCCAGTGCGACGGTTTCTGGGCGCCATCCTTGTGCTGACAGCGCTGCCCCAAGGGTCGCTCTGCTGACTGATGGGAAGGCTGACTTTATGTCGAAGGTTGTAAGGAACCCATGCACCCCTTTAAGCCTTGCCCTATCGGCGTCAAAGACGAGGCATGCCACCAGGTCCTGTGCCGACCTGAGTGGGAGCGCCCCTGCTGTGTCCCTGATTACCGCGTCGCCGAGGATTGCCGCTACTGCCATTCTTCTTTGCATTAGCCTCTCGAGGCCTTTGCCGAGTACTGACAGTAAGGTAATTGGCCTCCAGCCGCTGGTAGTCTTGTGGTCCCTCCCGGCTTTGGACAATGTGATTACCGTGGCTCGTTTCCAGGCCTGGGGGAAATGTCCCAGTCTGATCGCCCCGTGGCAGATTGTTGTCAGGTGACCTTGTAGGTTTGCGCCCCATATTCCTTTCAGGTTGCTGACCGTAATCCAGTCTGGTCCTGGGCTTGTGGAGGTTCTGATGAGGAAGGACTGTCGGACTTCTTTGGGAGTCGGGGCCTCGCCCACCTTTTCCGCTAGGGGGTCCGGGACCTTTTTGGTGTCCCACCACCTTACTTTGGGGGAAGTTTCCGTGGGTTCCGGGAAGGCGGCCTTAGCGAGCTCTTCCGCTATGCCTTCCTGGTCCGTCACCCTCCGTCCTGCCACCCTCAACTCGGAAGGTCTGTCGTCTGGGGTAGGGTTCTTCTATTTATAAAATGACCCGAGTTCATTCGGGCCTGCTTCAGCCAGGGCGGCTTGGTAATGTTCTCGTCTGGTCTTCCGGCACTGTCTTCTGAACTCTTCGGGGCCCTTTCTCCTGGTTTCTTTCAGTTCGGGCTTCCACCATTTGGCCCTAGGCCTTGTTGGCCTCCGGTGTCCTAGGGTTTGCACCACGCCGGTAACGACGTTGTGCACCTGCCAGGCTTGTTGGTTTAGTTGTTTTGTGGTTATGGCCACGTGCGGGGGGGGGCCCAGTTTTGTGTTCACTGCTCGACCCGCTGCCTCTTCTTCTTCTTGGGGGGGGGGGGTACGGTGTTGGTGGTGCCCTCGTAGGTTGCGCCCCCCGTACCGACACCTCTATAACCCTGTGGTCCGACACCCAATAGCCGACTCTCGCGGTGGCCTCCGGGGGGCCGAACGCAAGGTCAAGCGTGTTGCCTCTTCGGTGTGTCGGTTTCTTTTTTGTGTTAAGGAGGTGTAGGCCCAGTTTTTCCGCCAGGTCTGCCAGTGCCTGGCCTTTGCTGGTCCATCGGGGGTTTTTGTTCCAATTCGGGTGTCGGGCGTTAAAGTCCCCGACTAGTACCCTTTTCTTCCCCGGGTCCAGTGCGTCGCACCAGGCCCGGGCTTTCTGGTCTTTGCCACGCGTCGGGTGCCAGTACGAGGTCGATATCGACAGGCCTGCTACCCGCACCGATACCGAGTGGTGTTTTGGTCTTCCCTCTATAGTCCATCCCATAATATGTTTTCCCACGTATACCGCCGCCTTGCACTTTGGACCTGTTTTTGCTACGCATGTCCACCCCGGGTGTTTGCGGGGTTTGTTATTTAGCAGTGCTGGCTCGTTTACGCAAACCATATCTGCTTTTTTCTCCCTTGCGTACTCTAGCAGCCCTAGACGGGCTGCTAGCCCCCTCCCCGTATTGCCGAAAACGACCTTAGTCATTCGGCTTCTTGTGTGGGGGCTGGCGTGGTACCTGTAATGGCCCTTAGGTACGTGGTGAAGTCTTGCCCTTGGGGCAGGGCCGTTGGTGCCCTTTCTAATTGTTCCCATGTCATGCCGTTTCTTACCGAATCCAAGGCGACGTACAGGCTTTCGGACTCGGCGTTCGGGGCTGCTTCGTCTATAGGGGGCAGGGTTGGTTTCTGAATGGCGTCTACCGTTTCGTGCCATTTGCGTCCGCGTGCCGGCCATATTATGGCTTCCCTAATTGCGTCCTCCTTTGCGTATCCTTTTAGCTCGCGTGCCCGGGTGACGGCTTCCCGTAGCTGGGCGACCTGTTTTGCTGTGGGGTTCCAGGTTGTTGGGTCTTCCAGTTCCTCCACTCCTAGCTCGCGGCTTACTTCGTTGTGGAAGTTCCTAACCGCCACTGACGCCCGTCTTTCGGTGCGCATGAGGTGTTCAAGCCTGCAGACCAGCTCCAGGGCTCTACTGCTTCTCTTCCAGCTGAGTTCTAAGATCTGGGCCGTCATCCTCGTGCCCCAAGGGTCTTCCCAGTCCGGAGCTGGCTCAGTTATGGTTTCTTTGCCCTGTCGGATTGCTTTTCGGAAGGTGTCCCAGTCCTGGCCTGCATGGGCTTTGGCCGCCCTGAGGACCGCGGTCTTGTCCCCGCCTTGTACGGCTGTCTGGGCTGCTGTAATCTCCGCGAGGTCTATAGCTTCCCAGATTTGTCTCACGAACGGGTCTTTGTTTTCCGGGGTGATGGCTGGGGTGGCTTTCCGACTGTCCACTTCCTTGGGGGCATTTGTAGGGAAGAGCTTGCGAGCTGTTTCTTTTGCCTTTTCTTCTGCTTTGAGGAATCTGTATCCGGGCTTCGCGGGGCTAGGGGGTGTGCTTGAGGTGCTTGACGAATCGCTTGGGATTTCGATTGTAACCTTTTTTCCCCTTGGTGTCGGGGAGGCTGGTTTCTGACGTGGGATTTCTCTGTCGGCTCTTTTTTGGACCAGGTCGGTGATGTTGCCGGTCCCGGGGCCGGGGGTGGAGTGGCTCTCCTTTCGGCCGTCGGTCCGTTATAGGCTATGGTACTTTCCGCCGTCTTAGGGGCTAGCCCGAAGTCGATAAGTGGTTCGTCCACTTCCATTTGGTCTGCATTTGGCGTGGCTTCATTCCTGGCCTTCCGGTATTCTGCCTTGCCGAGCGTGCGGAACCCTTGTCTTTGTGTGTTGGAAAGCTTAACCACCTGATTATTAACCACTTTGGGCCAGCACGGGCATCCTGTGTGTCCTGGTTTGTAGGGCCCCAGGCATCCTGGGCACTGGGGTGGGTTGGGGTGTTGGCACTCGGTCTGTCCGGCTGTTGCTCCGCATTCCGCGCATCTTTTCGCGCCGGTGCACTTTTCTTCGTTGTGTGGGCCGAAGCACCGCCAGCACATTTCGATGTGGACTTTCCGTTGGATTAGTCGGGCCGGGTCGGACCCGAGTATACGGAAGGGCCTGGTTTCTTTGCCCATAACTATCGTAAAATTACCGGGCCGTCTTCCCGTCACAGCCTTAGTTTCTTGTCCGGTGTGCCTGGACGCTTCTCTGGCGACCACCTCTGGGGTTACCGGGGCCTGGGCCCCAGTGCCGTCCATGTAGTTTTCTGGCACCCCCCGAACTGAGTACGCCACTGTCTTTTCTTCGGGTTCTGCCGGGTGTCCTTGTTTTTTCGCGGCTGCGACGAGCGTCGCCCTTACCGCTGCAGTCTTCATGGTGATGGCCCAGCCTGAGCCAACTTTGTGTGCTTGTGTGATGAGGCCCCTGGGGACCCCCCATGCTGCGCCCTCCATCAGGGCCATCAGGGTCTCCGCCTGCACGCTGCGGAGTTTGTGCTCGCGGGCCAGGCGGAGGAACACCCGTTTGGATGGCTTGTCGGCCCATTGCTTGGTTGGGGGTTCCGGTCCCTTGGTTACGGCCTTATTGGTCGCCTTCTTTGTTTGTGGCTGGATCACTGTCCAGTTCTGGGGATTGGCGGGCTTGGCCGCGTCAGCAAAGCTGACTGGTCCTGGGGCCCTTTGGGCTCCGGTCGTTTGCACTGGCGACGGTGCCCGAGGGGTTGGGGGAGGGGAGGGTTCCCCTCCTGGCTGATTGTTTTGTTCCGTCAGTATGCTCCCAAGGAGCACCTGGTGGAGTTTTTGCCAGAGAGCCGCGCCGGCCTTCTTTTGGGCGGGGGTTTGGAGGGGGGTAAGGGCTTCTGTGGCGGCTTTCAGGACCGCCTCCACTGTCTCGTACCGCGCGGCGGCATCTTCGACTTGTTTCTTGTGTAGTTTTTCAAGCTGCTCTGCGATGGTAGTTAGGGTATGCATTTCTGTGGGCGCGCAGGTCTGGACAGGGCGCGCCGATTAAAGGGGAGGTGGAGAAGTTCGTGATAGTCCTTTTGGTGTTTCGTCGTGCTACAGATTAACCAGATCTGATAGGTTTACACTCGCATCTTTTGCCCCGCCGGCCTCCTATTGGCTGCCGGTAGGAGAAAAAGATATTTTCGAGGGAAGGTTGCCATCTCTGCTAAAAAGCCAGAACAATCAGAACC